GGCATCCACTGAGGTAGATGAAAAGGAGATGTAGATCTGTGTGCCATCAGCATACTGGTGACACGATGCCCCACACCCCCTGGTGATCCCACCTAGCAGCCTCATATAGATGTTCAACAGCATTGGAGAGATGATCGACCCCTGTGGAACCCCACAGTTGAGACTCCATGGGGCCAAGACACTCTCCCCAAGCTGTACTCTCTGGGGATGGTCCTCCGAGAAGGAATAGAGCCAGGCAAGGGCCTGGCCACCAATTCCAACTCAGAGAGCCTCCCCAGGAGGATACCGTGGTCGATGGTATCAAAGGCCGCCGAGATGTCAAGGAGGACCAACAAGGACATATTGCCCCCATCGGCCTCCCTCAACAGGTCATCCATCAGTGCGACCAGTGCCGTCTCTGTACCGTAGCATGGCCTGAAGCCCGACTGGAATAGATCCAGGGTGTTTGTTTCATCCAAAAGCGCCTGGAGCTGATCTGCCACCACCCTCTCAACCACTTTGCTAAGGAAAGAAACATTGGCAATGGGCCTATAATTGCCAATATCGTCCATTGCCAAATTTGGTTTCTTCCTAATGGGCCTAATGAGTGTCTCCTTGAGGAGACCCATTAATTATTGCAGTGGCCGCTTCAGTTGTTACGGGCCTGGCTGCTTTGATTAGCCAGGCCCGGCAAGGGTCAAGAGAAGGGCTGGTGGCCCAACAGTGATCAAGCACCTTGTCTACCAAATCTGGTGACACAGGCTGAAAGGAGTCAAGAATTACCGGGCAAGGCGGAACACTGGACATCTCTGCTCGATCCATTGTATTTAAAAAAGGAGAAAGGTCACGGCGGATGGCCTCCACTTCGGATTTTTAAAATGCTGCAAAGTTTGGTGGCTTTGCAGTTGTAGGCAGCAAGACCCTCTATCTCACAAAGGCTCACTTAATAATGAAGTCCGTGCCTTGCTTGTCTTGTAGTACTTGATGGAATTGTTCAAAATGGTGTTTGGGTTCTAAATCCATCCTGTCCTAGTTTTGCATTACCGTTTTCGCTCCTCAGCAGCTGCCAAGTCTATGTTAAAAAGTGTATGTCACTCTACATATGTCAACAAACCCCCTTTTTTTCCCCCTTACAGCATGGTTCTTTATATAGGAAAAAAGGAATATATGGGAAAGCCATCAAAGTTTTTCAGGGCTGGCATTATTGCTGTTTAGAAAGTGCCCTGCATGACACAATGCACAGAGTAATGGACATGAAATCCTCTCTTACTGAAACGAATTGCACAGTTTTTCCTGATCTCTTTATGAAGACCAGGAAGCTGAAATAAAATCTTCAGCAAAAAGGAGCAAAGCACCAAAAATAACTCTTGTCAGCCAAGTTTGGAAAGTAGGGCTTTTTCAAAAAGAAATCTAAATAATACTGATTAAGCACTACAGGGTGGCAAGTGCAGATAAAGGGTTTGCACCATCATTCAGTATAGAACTGCTGGATAGCTCAGTGGTTTAGATGTTGGGAGTTTGATTCTCCTTGGCAAGTGCTGGGCTCATTAATCCACAGGGTCCCTTCCAGCTCCATATTTTTGTTGTTGTTGTTGTTGTTGTTGTTGTTGTTGTTGTTGTTGTTGTTGTTATTGTACTGTGTGAAGTTTTTTGATATTGTTCCCAAAGCCCCGATGACTATGGGGACCACTGAAGTGAGTTTCTTCCAAAGGCGAGATGTCTTGATTGCCAGGTGTGATCATCACCCACGTCATTCATAGTCATGAGCTGATTTGTATGAGCCTATGAGAGGACTGGAGAGGTGAAGTCATCATCCCCGATTCCTGACCCTTTTTTTGTTGTTGTTGTTCTATTATTACTATGTTTGGTGTGTTATGTTCAAGTGTTGGTACACCAACACTGTCGTCCACAACAGAAGAGAAAGACAAATTCTATGATGATCTGGCAGCTACTATCAAAAAAGTCCCCGAGAGAGAGTCACCGTTCATTCTCTGAGACTTTAACACTAGAATTGGTGTTGATCACAATTCTTGGCCCACTTATATAGGCCATTTTGGTATTGGCAAGATGAACGAAAATGGCCAACACTTGCTGGATTTTTGCTGTTATTATGGTCTTTGTATCAGCAACATGTTCTTTAATACGAAGCTTCAACACAGAGTTTCCTGGAGACATCCAAGATCCAAGCATTGGCATCAGCTCGATTTGATCCTCACTAGACATTCCAGCCTTCCTAGTATTACGATCACATGCAGTTACCAGAGTGCTGATTGCGATACTGATCACTCCTTGGTGTGTAGTA